CTTCAGCAACTACTACGTGGCCCAGGTCCAGCCCCTCTTCGCTTGCCCACCCTCGCCGCCCCACCACTACACGCCCCCCTCGCAGCATCCCATGCACGCCACCTGGCTGCCCTGTAACTAGAACCTGCACTACGGTCGTGCGCTGGAGGAATTTCTCGGAAACATGCATTGCTTTGTTGTTCTTTCGTGGGTTGACTTGAGTCAGGCCAGTGGTTCTCAAACTTTTCCCGAGGGCCCGCCCGATTAATCAGCAGGCCGATTAAATCATGACAGTAGCTCTTCTAAAATTGTCAAAAATCCGTAAAAAAAAATCGTCCAATTTTTTGCTGATTCTTCTTTTTTCCTCTAAAATAGGTAAAAGAAATTATTTGTAAAAAAAAATATACTGGTGTGTTGAGATAGGAGTGTCTCGACTTCCAAGTTTTGAGATACGAGTGGAAATTATTTGTAAAAAAAACTATACTGGTGTGTTGAGGAGTGTCTCGACTTCCAAGTTTTGAGATACGAGTCAGAATTTTGTCAGATGATTTTTATTTTATTTTTGCTCTGAATTGCGAGTGCAAACTCGAAATGAGAGCGGCAACAAAACGCCATTGACGAGCTGAGAGTTAGCATCGAGAGTTGCGGTTTTAGAATCAACGGATATTTGAACATAAACGGTGGAGCAACACAGACAGACAATATCATACTCACAGGCATGATTTTTTTATTTTTTTTATCTTCAGAAAATTACTGTTACAGACTCTCACTCAGTCGGTAGTAGTCGGAGAAGTCTGAGCCACTGGACATTTAATATTTTAAAGTCACTGCAACAGTCTGAACATTTAATTCAGCGAGGAAGCACACAGACCACTAAAACTGAGAAAAAAACAGCAAAAAGGGAAGGGTGAACGAGGACAAGGAACCCGTGCCAAGGAGCTGATGCTTGTGTTTTTTTTTTTTAGCAGACCACTAAAACTGAGAAAACAAAGGGAAAAGGGAAGGGTGAACGAGGACAAGGAATCCGTGTCAAGGAGCTGATGCTTGTGTTTTTTTTTTTTTATGCTTTCCTGACCCTGGACCTTTTTGGCTACAGCACTCACGTTAGAGACTGATGCAACTCACATCCTCTTTAATGACAGACGATTGAATGAGAGGCTCGAGATGTTGAGTCATGGTCAAATCTAGCGGTGGCTTTCTGTCAGTTACCAAAAAAAAGGGGGGGAAAGTAACGACTATTTGCAATTCGAAAAGGCCGACAAGAGAAACAACAAAACAATGCATGCTTTAATTCTTCCTCAGCAAGTAAGTGCCTTTAAAAAAAAAAAAAATAGGGGGAAAATATATTTTTGCAATTTCTGTGGGGGGGAAAGGGCGATAGGGGTCAGTGGTGTATATATTTTCAATCATGAACGGATTGCTTTACAAAGTTTACCGATGCTGTGGGGGAGGGGGGTGTCAGGATTTTTACACTGAGGCACCAAGCGATTTTTCGTGTTTTTGTTTTGGTACTTCTAGCTTCTCGTGTGAAACACAGGCCGATTACCAGAGAGGAAGTAACGACATCATTGCACGGAGACGCAGAGAATCAAAAGGAAGCGGTAGAGTGGTTTGATATTTTAAAAAAATGCTTACGTGAATAACATGGAAGGGGAAAAACAAGGCATATCAGACAGTTTCATTTCTTATCAACTGGGTCGAGTTGGCGGCAAAATGCTGAGGTGGGCAACATAAAGGCCATTCTCAATGAACGGCCTTTCTCCTCAGTCAATGCAACGGTTAGTTTCCTGTACTTTGTTGTATTTCACAGGCAGAAAGAGAGAATGCGAAACCAACGTCATTATGACTCGCACGACAACACAAGCGGAGACATCAGTGCGGTGTGCAGATAAACACAAATTTTGTTGTCCACGATTGAGGACAACGTATCAAATGCTTCACGTAGTTTGGTTTCAAATGTACGGGGGGCCGGGGGTCCTCGATTTACAAATGAGTCACAACTGCGGAGACCGAAAACAAAGCTCGGGATGGGCGTTCCTTGAGCTACAATAGGGAGAAATTAATGAACCGCTCTTTGAATATACTGTATAGATATATTTTTTTAATAAGATGGGAGAATCTTCCTGTGAATGTTCGGAACTTTCCATGTCAGTGTGATATCGAGCAGACGAATACTGCCTCGGCCTCGGATGTGCGAACGCTCTCCATGTTTGTCTCGCTCGATTGAAGACGCGATTTCCTTGCGATTGAGTTGGCAGTTCACAGTAGGAATGGACGTCATTCCTAACTGTCGCAAAAAAAAATAATGTATGGGGACCTGTTTTTCTATCAATCACAGTTTTTGTACAGTTTGTCTATTTTTGGGTGATGTAACTGCACCCGGCGATGCGCAGCTCTCACTTGTGCGCCGTTGAGCATCCCTGGTGTATTTTTTTTTTTTTTACTATTCTTATGCCAATTGTGATATTGTGCATGTGTTCAAATTGAATGATTCAAGTAAAAAAAAAAAAAAAAAAAAATGAGAGTGCGTCAGTTCGTTCACGCTTTCAGCATCCACTCGCCAGCCCAACAGCGGAAAGTAAAAGTCGGCATGGGGTCAACGCTCGAAGGTGCCCGCACTCGGCCTCTGCCAGCCAGTGACAGCTGAACCGAGGGATTTCCCCTGGCAGAGACGTCACCGACAAGCCGACGGCCGTCATCGCGTCCGCTTGCTAAACCTCATTAGCTTGTGTTGGCACGGGTGATCTTGATCGCGAAAAAAAAAAAAAGAAAAACCACTCGAGATGTTACTACCGGCAGGTCCTCGGCCTCCTGGGGATTGCGTGCAAATGGATAGTGAGACCCGCAGCTGTCACTTTCCCTACGAGTAAAACTCATTCATTTACTTACACTCACAAAAAGGCATTAGGAGTGAAATTTCAAGATGAACATGAAGCGCTCTGACAGGTGAACTTGCACTTCGAAACGCACACGTTTGTAGTTTCGGTTATTTTTGCTTGCTGTTGAACAAGAAGCTAAAATGTTGCATTGTGCCACAGAAGTCCGATCCATAAATGGACCAACACACTTTTTGGTGGTTGAATTAGAATTGTAATGTTCACATTTTGACAAAAGACCAGGATGACACCTCACAATTGAACAGCAGGACCAAACAAGAAGGAAGTAGCCCCCAAAAAAAAAAATTAGTTTCAATTTGGATTTTTCTAGCCAGAGTTTAAAAAAAAAAAAAAAAAAAAAAAATCAGAAAATGCACTCAAGTCTATTTAATTTATGGTACAATCGATTCGGCTAACCGGCCCAGACCAATGAATAGCCAACATGTGCAAATAATTGACGACCATTGAAATACAATGGGGAAAACATAACAATCAAACCCTTAAAAGTCTTCCCAAAATGATGATAAATGTTCAATACACGGAACTTGATGGAGAAAAAAACCCTTAAAAATACAAAGGGGGGGGGGGGTTGAAAATGGAAAGAAACCTTGGATGACGAACAATGGCAGCACAAAAGATCCCTGCAGTGAACGAGATTGCATTTGCTGGAAACTCTTTGCGCACTCAGCACATTTATGACATTATCACCGACTTTGCATAAATGCAAAACATCTGCCGATCTGATCCAGCCGATCAGATCGGTGTACAATCTAACCGATATGCTAAACACAACATCAATGTCATCCAGTGCTAAACAAGCCTGAGAACGAACACTAAATTTAGAAACACCCCCACTGTTAAGACATTAGGCCATCTCCAGAAAGCCGATTATCATTCCTCGGTATGTACTATGTCACTGCGCAAAGATTTACTGTCCACCAGCCAAAGCTCACTCTCACTGGAAAGAATACCGACAAAAAAAAAAAAAAAAAATGCATCCCACTTCCTTATCAAGGGTTCAGCGGGAAGTGAGAACAAGGGATTGAGGTGTTTTTGCACAGCGAGAGAATGAGCGAACCAACCAGAACAGGGAGATGTAGTCCAAAAAATTTTGGCGTATGGCGTCTCAAGAGGAGCGACACCGCCATCCCCACTCCCAGCCTTTTTTTTTTTTTTTTTTTTTTAAAAAATTCAACCTTTGCACCAATTTTTGCAGCAAATCCTTCTTATATTCGTGCCACACTAATAAAACACCATGTTATAGTCTACATATTACCAACCAGTGTACAGGTGCCACCAAAATTATGTGAAGGTCAAATAGTGAACTATAGTTTTCGAACTAGTGCAAAAGGGAGGCCCCCCCCCTCCCCCCCCCCCGCCTTTTTTTTTTTTTTTTTTTTTAAAGAATTCAACCTATGCACGAATGATTTGTTGACATTTCAACTTCCCCCAAAAATTTGCCTCAGGACATTTGAGAAAACGTGCTAATGAGTTAAGAGGCACTGTTAACTCATTAGCACGTGTACATCCAAGACCGGTTGCACATATAGACAAGCATTCACCCTCAGCCAATTCAGAGTCTTTGTTTCAAATCAGACACCAAAGAAAATTTTTTCTTGAGATCTCTAGAGCCACGATCATTTTTTTAAATATCATATTCTCTTCCCGTTGCGCTCAATCGTGTAGGGCGAGAGTCACGACGCCTCTGATGCTTCAAGCTTCCAGTCGGTTCGGAAACCCTCGGAATGAGTCATTAAAAAGCTATTTTTTAATCAAAATGGGGGGTTGGCAGCTTGTAAGAAGTGACGTGTATGGATTGCAAACTATATTACGAGAAGTTTTAACAGACTCTGAAAAATCTTCAGTGACCCAAATGTGCATGTTTTTCAAAAGTAGGCAGAAGAGGAAGTCCGCAGACAAATCGACGCAAAATTGGGGAAGAACTCTTCACACCCAGCACATAACAACAACAACAAAAAAAATAATAATAAATGCAAGGAGACACTATAAAAACGTTCTAAAATAAGTTTTATTCCTTCGATATCGCGAAAATCTGCAATACAGCAGGGGGTGCGAAAACTGATCGTCCGTATATCGGGATGCAGGGCGCGCTTTTAATTAAATGCATTTCTCCATTCGGAGAGATCGCTCACATGCACGTCTGTGGTGATTCCCCAGAACATTGTATAAGGGTTTTGGTGTGTTTCCAATTTGCAGATGCACAACTCTCGGCTTAGTAAATGTTGGCTAAGAAAGCAGAACAGCCAGTATAGTTCCCTTTCTCCACCCGGGACTTGCTACATGTGAATGCGACGAATATGGGATGGGCGGCTTCATGAGCAACCAAGGACACACACACACACACACACACACACACACACACACACACACACACACACACACACACACACACACACACACACACAGACACACACACACACACACACACACACACACACACACTATACTGATACATACGGAATTACTTATACTGTACATTTGTGTGTGTGTGTGTGTGTGTGTGTATCTGTGTGTGTCTGTGAGAGACAGGAAATGTAAAACTTGCTGATGCGGTCATCATCGCAAACACACACTTGCATCTACAAACTCTAGTTATGTTGGAGATGGACCAGTTGGAACGGCAGCAGGGCCACAGTCCAGCTCCTCCCAGTCCAGATCAGAGGTCAGCAAGTAAATCAAACGACAGCCAGACTGTGAGAAACAACAAGTTGTGTGTGTGTGTGTGTGTGTGTGTTGTGTGTAAGAGTGGACTGACAAGAAGGCTCTTACTGCGTGTACGTGTATTGATTGATCAATTTTTGGTGGGGTGAGAAGCGTTGAAACACAGTGGCGCCTTGAGATACAAGATGAATTCATTCCGTGACGAAACTCAAATTATTTCTCTCTTTAAAAATGTATGGAAATTCAATTCATCTGTTTAAGCATAGAGCGGCAACATCTTTTAATAAAATGTAAATTAAACAATTTGTGCATCATGATAAATGCATGGCGGCTCCTTATGTTGTGTGAGAATTAGCCAGAGAGTGACAGAAAAAGACTTTCACTCAACTAATGGAAGTGGTTCATTAAACCGCGGTCATATAAATCGTTTTTCATAGAGGGTAAAAAAAAATGGCTATGAGTATTGTTTTATCATCTGTCCATGTGTGCTGCTGCACCGTTTGTATTCAAATATCCGTTAGTTCACTTTTTTTCTTTTTTTTTTAAACACTGCCACATAGCTGCTTTTCGTTAGCCTCTCGACAGAATTTCCCAGTATGTGTTAACATCATTAAAATGGCTGGCTTGAAAACAAAGCCGACATTTTTTGTGAAGATTTCTTCACGATGTCAAACTGCTGCTTGTTCTGGAACGAGCTCAGTTAACTTCACCGTCCAACTCTCAAATCTCAAATTTTTGTTCAAGTCAAAGCGGGGGGGGGGGAATGAATTATTCTTCACATTATGGCCAACAGCACGCTTACAATTTTGTGGAAACAGTTTGGGGAAGGCCCTTTTCTTTTGCCAGTACACAAAGACAGATCGATAAAGTTTTGCTTGGATGAGCCGATGTGTAAAAAAATGCCTTTGGCATAAACTGGAAGAGAGATTGCAGCGGAGCCTGCCTCAGCCCAAACATTGAATCATTCGTGTTCTTGGACATGTCATAGATGCCATTTGCCTCCAACTGGAGATGCAGAACACTGGGAATACAAATGCACACACGTGCATGCGCACCCACAGTATTTCCCACAGACACTCTCTACCTGACCCTAAAGCCGGTTACACACTTGGATTTTTATTGAGGGGCGGCACGGCGTGCGACAATTTAGCACATCGGCCTCACAGGGCGAAGGTGCAGCGTTCGATTCGGGCTGCGGCTTTCCTGTGTGGAGTTTGCATGTTCTCGAAATCATTGTTTGGTGAAATCATGGAGGATTTTTTTTTTTCTCCAATCGGAAGGATTACCGTGGTGTTCCCAACACTAGAAACACAAGTACTAACACATTCCCACAGACGCACTCCCAAACTGTGTAAAGTCTTCCCAGAAGAGTGGAAGCTGTTTAAGCAGCAGGACCAGGTGTCACAAAATTTCCATGCGCACAGTGTGTGAAGTTTCCCTCCCGCGTTTTCAGTTTGATTCATTTGCGGACGACTTTGCTATTAGAGATTAGAGAAAAAAAAAAAAAAGCAACGATCTGCAAAATCAGTGTTAATTACAAAGCATGACCATATAAACATTAAAAATAACGCTCATAAGTCATACTTGTTGGATACACCAATCGCCATGAGAGTTTTCCGTGACATCAGATGCCAAACAGCCGTCTGGGCTGCAGTCATAAATCAGACTCATCCACAATCTTAAGTGTTTATGCCGGCTTGTGTAAACGCTGGCCAGCTGGACGGAGGCCAGCGCTGGAACAGAGATTAGCTTGTTTCGGGGCAGAGGGTGGGCGGCCTCCGGCAACATAGCCGATGATGTGTAACCCGACACATCGCGGTGGAAGTGATTGGCTTGTTTGTGCAAGAAGATCTGGAGACTTGCTGTAAAATAACGACAACAACAATAACAACAACAAAACCAAAAATCCAGTAATAGATCATCATGTCGCTTCATTTCTGATGAGCACTGCACTGCGGCCA